TGTCCTTATTTTCCCCCATTGCAATTATTGAAAAAACTGGGATGTTTGTTCTAGTTTCTCTCATTCTGGATTTTGTTGATTGCATTCCTGATGAATACTCTCCTCTGTTCTCCTCATAAACTGACAATAAGTTTTAAAAGCTTGAATAATACCACATTTTAAAAGAAGATGGCTGAAAGAATTAATTCTCTTAACCCTTCGCTGCCAAGGAGTGTAGAAAGAGTAAGGATTAAAAATGGGAGCAGGCATTAAAGAGAGGAGTTGGTACACTCTGAGTCCCTTTTTACCTTGAGTCAAGAGAAAAGAGCTTTAATGAGACCACTCTGAGAACTTAATACAAGACCCCTGCATTTAGTCTGTATTTAGATCCTTCCTACAAAATCTAACATGTAAGGAAAGAAAGGACCAGTTTTTTTGATGTGGAGCCCAGGAGAGCTGGTTGTGTTGAGATCTGCGCTTCTGAACTTGGTCAGACTAGAGGATGTGTGAGATTGGCTTGTGGACCATAAGTGTGAAGAGTGGCATGAGAATGGTGGTTTAGATTCTAATAAAAATGCTGCCAGAGAGAAGGCTGTGGATGCAGATGAGAAGATCAAGGAGCACAGAGACTAGCTAAAATACAGATAGATTTCCCTTGGATAACAGAACTTGAAGGAGAGATCTGAAGCCATTGGTGTCCTATTGTTTTTCAGGGACAGTTCTCCCAAGGACTGATGACAGCTCCTAGCAGTGAGAGTCAGATGCTGCTTCCTAGTTCACTGTTTGGTTGAAAGGAGCACCTTGATTGGAGAGGCCAAGTTGATGCCTTGTGATTGAAGCGTGTGGAAAGAAAGTCAAAATTAACAGGAAATGGACTCACTTATGAGATAAATGTTTTCAATCCAACCAAATTCATGGCAACACCTGAACTTAATGTTTTTTCTTTGGTTTACCCTACCCTAATTCTAGAATATATGCTTTCCTAGAGATAAGAACTCATGCCTACATCACCAGCAACTATTATAACAGTGGCTGGCGTGAATAATTGCTGAAGAAATATTTGTTAACTAACTTATTACTACTTTAGTGTATCTTTATATCTGATTTAAATCTTAAACACTGGGATAGCTTCGGCAGTGCTTTGCAATGTTTATTGAATGACTACCAAATCAATGTTATTTTCAATTTTTGGTAGGAAAGAATACCCTACAAAAGATTGACTTTTTTTGGTAGAATATTTTTTCTTTATTTAAAGAAAAAAAGTGATTTTTAATTTAATCTTACCTACTTTAAGATATAAATCTTATAATTTCAGAAATTGAAAAGAACACAATCAAGCCTCTTGTTTTACACATGAAACATCTCAGAGAGGACTAAGTGTCTCATCCAAAGATGTAGAGAATCCAGTAGAATATATTTTTTCCATAAATGAGCTATTTTCTATTTCTTCCATTTGTACTACATTTGCTCTATTAATTAGATTGTAAGCTTGTTGTTGATGTACTGATTTATACTTCTACCTAAATTTCTACCGCATCTATCCTCATGCTGGGCAAAGATGTCATCTTCAAAAATATGTTACTTTTGAGTTGTTGGAATATCAGAATGACAATTAAAACAATATCAAGAAAAATACATTAGAAAAATGTGTTATTACTTGAGTCCCTCCTTCCAACATTTAAATATTATTGTAACAATAATTATTTTAAGTGAAATAATATTTGACATTCAGAACTGTCTTTACATGAGTGTGTAAAGAGAAGTTATTTGAGGTAACATTTGCCCACAGTTTTGTTTGCCCTTTGAGTCATGGTTTGCCCTTTGAAAAAACAAGGGACAATCAGGACAACTAATTTTGGAAACTATTCAAAGGTCTAAATGATTCTCTTCACAAAGGACAAATTTAATGTAATGGAAAAATCATCAGTCTCAGAGTTCACTTGTAGACCTAATCTGTCACGAAGTAGCTGTGAGGTGTTAGGCTTTTTACAACTTCATGTGCTTTTATTTTCTCATTTCTACTACTTCTTTGAAGCGCTCAATGGGTAAAGTAAGATAATGAAAGTAAAAGCACTTTTGAAATGATACAAATCTATCGATTCAGATGGTTTTCTGCGACTGTGGACTCCACTGTGCTTAGCAGCAGAAAAGAAAATGTGCTTCAGCAACTACCCACTATTTAGAATCACAGATGCTAGGGAAAGGGGCATTAAAGGTCCTTCTCTACACTCAGGAGTCTTTAGTACAGGTTTCCTAAAATTAAAATTTATTCCACGCAGGGACCTGCGGGGAGTTTAGGTGGTACACGTGTGAATGTTTTTAAGTTATGTGCTTATTTTAAAGCATTTTAGAAAAGAATAAAACAACAAGACTGACTCTCCAAAGCAAGCTCACCAACCATTAGGAATCCTTGTAACTATTGATCTCCTCCAGATTTTTCCAATGTAAATGAATATCTTCTCTGAGAATATTATTCAAAACACAGTCTTACTACCTTGATAGAGTCTTCTACTAAACTTATGATTCCCCCATAATTGGGGTGAACTTCTATTGCATGCCAGAACCTCAGTGACAGAGTGTGGTTGGGACTGAAACTAATTGAGCCTCAAAAAGAATAATGGAGCTCTGGCTGGTGTAGCTCAGTGGATTGAGCATGGGCGTGTGAAGCAAAGGGTCACCGGTTCGATTCCCAGTCAGGCCACATGCCTGGGTTGCAGGCCAGGTCCCCAGTAAGGGACACATGAGAGGCAACCACACATTGATGTTTCTCTCCCATCTTTCTCCTTCCGGTCTCCTCTCTCTAAAAATAAATAAAAAAATATTTAAAAAAAAGAATAATGGAGGAAGGGAGCTGAGAAATTACCTTGGCTAAAAGGACTGGATCTCCAAAATGAGCAGAGAATACTTAAATGCACACTGTACAAAAAAATGTGAATGAACTTGTATTTGTTTCTGGCAGATGCTAATGTCCTAGGTTAGTTAATTTAATGCATTGGGCCAATCAAGGAAAGGGGTGACATGCATACTGATGTCAGCCAGCAACCACACCACGAATCTGGGAGTGATCAATCCATTTATAATGCGCCCTCACACACACTTGTAAGGGAGCATTTTTGTGGCCTCCGTCAGATCTGATTTCTCCTCTTAGCTTAATCCATTCCAGCCTTACTGTTCCTTTGGTGTTCTCTGAATACGCCAAACGTGCTCCCGGCTCAGGGCTTTTGCACTGGCAGTTCTCAGGATCACTATTTTCCTAAATTTTCCTTTGTGTGGATAGGAAAAGGTGCCCCTTTCTCAAGGCACACCCCTACATGGCTCCCCTGAGCTCCTTTGCTTTGCTTGGTACACTCTTCTCTCAGATCTCTGCAATGCTGTTCCTGTCTCCTCCTTGGGGTCTCTGTACCTCTTGTCCATTGAGTGGCGCTTGCCCTGACCACCTGATTGTAAACTTGTACTTTCTTCTATTGTTCAGCCCACATTCCTTCTCTTCTTGGCTTTATTTTTCTCCATGCAATAAATCACCTGATATGCTACCTATTTTACTCATTTATTGTATTGGTCTCATCACACTAAAACATCATCCTTACATGAAGCCAGGGTGTGGGTATGTGTGTGTGGTCTGTTTTAATCACTGCCGTATTCCCAGAAAAGTGCCTGAAACATAGTAAATGCTCAAATGTTAGATACATTTTCATTTAAAGACTCCTTGTTATCTGTCTTCCTTTGTCCCAAGATTATTTATCTTCCTCTCAGCTTCCTGTTATCAGAAAACTGAGGTTAATCCCTAACTGCAGTTTGTACATTGAGCCTACTCTTTCTAGAAACTTTCTCTAGGCTTTTTTTTTTTTTTTTTTTTTGCTTCTGCTTCTTACCACCCAAATCCCTTCATATCTCATAGCTCTAATTACATAAACAGGCCATTCAAAATTAATTTTTATTGAGACACTTTTTATTTAAAGGAAAAATTTATTCATACCAGGCCACTAGTCAGCTTATAACTTTCTTTGGATTCCACACTTAGACCCTTCAGCTATGGCTCAGGAATCAAATAATGATTACCCAGGACCTTCTGCTTTCTCTTCCTTGGGTGAGGCAGACACCTAATATATCCTGATCCAGGTATTGAAATTATTTTTTTTAGTTTTGTTAAGATATGGAATCGTGACTTTAGTTGGGTATCAAAGGTTTTCAGAGTGTGCTTATCTGCATTACTTTTTCTTGACCCACTTCTAGTCATTTCTCTTTCTTTGTAAATGTTCTTTACCCCAAGTAATGGTTAGCCTTCTTCACTAGAGATCCCGGTCCTATAAATGATTATCATTTTTTGTCAATTCTATTTCTAAAAGATCTCTGTTTCCTTAGTTAGATTTCTCTAGACCTAACTTCTCACTTTAATAATATTGTACATCCTCTATCAGAATATTTAAAAACTACTAATGCAACCAGGTTATGTTTCTATCAAAATCTCTTCATGATCCTAGCTAGTTCAGTAAGGCAAGAAAAAATAAAAAGTTAAAATAGTTGAAAGAAGAAGAGAAAAGTAGATTACATGGTTTTGCAAGTGGAATCTAGAAGCATCAGCAAATAATCTAATATAATTAATAAGTAAATTTAATGAACTTACTAGATACAAGGTAAATGTCTAAAAATTAATTGATTTAAGCTACTAGCAACAAACTGGGAAAAATACAAAAATAAAACAATAGATTTCTACACTAAAGTTTATAAGATGTATTAGTGGATATTAAACAAATTCTTATTAAGTTCACACCAAATAGTTCTGCAAAGAAAATATTCACCAGTCATTTATGGAAATGTCCTATATACTTCAACCAAAGTAGAAACAAAAAAGTTTTATCATTTTACTCAGAAATACTTTGCTCATTCTCAGCAAAATAGATTCTTATACTCTAGCAGGATTGCAAATAATTTAAAAAATAGTGATAGTTCACACACTAATTTTTCAAGCATTTTCCTTCATGATTATTAAATGCACAGAGAAATACAACTAAGGGCTTGGAACATTTCCATATATTTGAATACATGTGTTGTGGAAAGAACAAGTATCAGATTCAAAGAGTTCTTTATATTTCTGATAGCATGCTTGCTTTTTCAATAACTGTGACTTGAATACCTGAATGAATGCAGGTCTGTCGCATAATTTTGTTAAATGAAAAAGTCGTCAAATTTAACTACAATTTTTAAAAGGTACATGAAGCAACCTCTATTTGCCTGCATCTTCCTTGACTGGGCCTTGTGGAGCACTTGATTAGGTTCGACATTGCCGAGTTCGCCCTTGATTGTGACTGCCCTCTGCAAATGCCTGAGAGCGGCCGGTCTCAACATATGATTCTCGGGGTTCATTTGGGGTTTCAATGGCAGCCTGCAAAAATATAGATATTGGTTGTTATTTGTTGAACATCTTAATTGACCGTTTTCTAGAGTTTTCTGACTATGTAAATGATATCTGGATATTAAATCATTGGTACAAACATTTATTTTGAAGAAACTAATCAGGTCAAAATGACTAACTCCCAGTTGCACAGTCATGAACACAAATTATGATTCATGGAAGTAGGCATGACTTCATATCCAGGACATGGTAACGCTTTATTTGTGTGCATTTAAGGAAGACAGGGGCAGAAGTTCATTTGCTGCACCTGTTATAAAAAGTTGTGAAGGCAAGTAATAGTCTGGAATGGTCTGCACAGCATGCCCAGTGGCACTTCAAGAATGACTGCATATGCCAGCCACGCTCTGGCAACCCCGTCTGTAGTCTTACTGTGACTCACACTCTGTTTGCACAGAGCTGGAAGACACTGAGGGGAGGGGCTCAAAACCTCCACTGGGATCAGAGTCACAAAAGGAAGCTGTCAAGGTGGAGGTTTTATAATAAGTAATAGGTTTGCATTTGTTGATTGAAGAATTTTTACAAAATGTATACATTATTCTTTCTCATTAGTTATGCTTCTGAATTTGATTCAGGAGTTATCTGCACGCCCCACATATTTTTTATAAAGCCTTGGCATTTTCCGAGGAATTCAACACCCAGAGTTTTAAACAAATCCTCATGTTTTGCAACTTTCATCTGCTCTTCCAGGTAAGAAGGAAAGCATAGGGTAGGTACACTAGCATTGATTTCTCAGTGAGATCCACCCACTTAGCACACACTTATGGAAGCATAGAGGTTACAGGGTATAGGCCATTCCCACGATAGGAGCTGCAGGAGACACTGGTTTCCAAATGTAACTCAAATCTATACACTCCTTTGATTTGGTTTTTAAAGATTTTCTTTTTCTACAGAATGTGTTTTAAAAAACACAAAAGATTTCTATAGTTTCATTGTATTCAGTTTAGATAAGCAGCCAAAAAATTCAGAAGCCCAGTCCAAAATTATTCTTAGTTTTACTTGCTAAAAGATCAGATTAAATGTCACATAAGAACAGGCTTTCTTGAAGGATGTCTGGTTCAGGACTTCCTGACTTTGCCATGAAGGAAAGACGCCGCAATACAAATCTTGGTCGATTCAGACTGGAGTGTAAGCTGTACCTAGATGTCTAAACTAGAAATATTATTTGCACCTTGTATCTGAATAACTCATAAGGATTTATTTTTGTCTATCTCTATCACAACATCAGATTTAAGTAACATTTTTCATCCTAATGATTTTAATTTAATAGTAACAAAAATATTTAATGGCTTAAGTATACTTCTACTTGCAGTCTGTCAAAGTGCCATTTTTCAAGAAACAATTCTTTGTCCTTAAGTAGAATACATACCCTATAACCGCTTGATCATTATATTTCTTTTCATGCTTCTGTGTGGTATAATTTTTGCACTTTAAATAATACACTATTAAGACATGTGGAGGATATTTTTGGCTATATCATACCTATGGGTATTTGGTTTTTAAACATATTATGGTTTCTTGAAAGGTCTGGTATTGCGAAAACAAATTTAGAATAAAATTACTCTCTTAACCATATCCCTGAAATGGTTTGATTTCTAGCTGTGGATAAATCCTAGTTCCTTTAGAGGTTACCTCTCCCCCTTAGACCAGCCATCCCCAGTAATTAGACTGCCAGCACTCTTGTGTTGACAGCTCCTGCATTGATTTACAGGGTTTGGAATTAAGCATTTTTTTTTCCTAAAGGATGATTGCTGAGTGGTTCCTAAGGTCTCCAACTGCTACAAAGATTATGTATTTTAAATTTGGTGTTTATAAATTTTCATTTCTACAAGATATTTATATTCCCTTTTCATACTTTAAATCAATTATATTCTAATTACTTGCTTTTAATTTTTTCTTTTGCATGAAATAAACCAGCCTGAAAAGGCTATACCTTGCAAGATTTCAACTACATGATATTCTGAAAAAGGAAAAACTTTAGAGACAGGAGAATTGATCATTGGTTGACGAAGTTTAAGGATAGAGAAAAGGATAAACAGGTGACACAAAGGGAATTCTCAGAGTGGTAAAAACTATTGTGCATGATATTGTATTGGTAGATACATGCTGTTATGTACTTGACAGAACCCACTGCACTATGCAGCACAAAATGTGGACCTTAATGCCTGCAAATTTAAAACAATATTTAGGAGGTTGGAGGGTCTCAGGGTGGAACATAGACTGTAAGAAGAGAATATATCTATATTACAAATATGTGAAGCCATCTCCTAGAAGGGCATGGGGGTAGAGGATACTGACTTATGATTTTGGAAATGAGTAGACTGTATATGACCAGAGATAAAAGGAACTGTGCATGAGTCCTATCTTCTAGTCACTGTATTCCATAACGGTGCTTCTCAAGGGGGCACAGGTAAACAGTTCTGATACTGATACACACTGGAATTGAAAACCTAAGTAAATGAATGGCAGATGGTGGGATTCCAATTTCTTCCTGTTGGAGTGGAATCTGCAGATAAACCAGGGAAAGGGGCTGGAGTGATCCATGTGGAAATAACTCAGAACTGGACACATTCACTATGGATTCATATATAGATACAGATGGTAATGCCTAGAAGTGGTTATAGATGTTTGTATTTTACAGGGTTTAGCACATATACACATATTTCTTTGTCAGCGAAGAGGGCCTAGAAGCAATGTCTCTGTTTCAAACGACGTACTGAACGCCCAGATGCTGGTTTCTCACATCCATCTCCCACGAAGGAGCCAGGACTCCTTGGAAGAAGTGCTGACTGCAGGGCTGGGGAAGGGAATAGACGAGGTAAGCCTGGAGCATCCCGTAGGGCCCCGAAGTAAGGAACTACTCAAAAATAAAACAAGACAGAACGGATGGAGGCATGTCGAAGAAGTACAGGAACCAAATGAAAGAGTTCCTAATGCCCAGAGTGGAAGGATTTGAGTAATAAAATATATTATGTAGTACTGGTTATAACTCAAGGTATGCAAATAGATACCCATGAGTCTATACTTATGTAAATAAATAATTGGGAAAATTAATAAATGTGGGAGAAGGAAAAAGTCCCCTGTGTAGGGAAGTTCCAAATAATTTATGTAGCTCCTTCCCCCTCGAGAAGGGGAAGCCCAACCCTCAGGCTTCCAGCGTGGCCCATGCACTTCCCAACAGAACCATGTGAAAGGGAGAACGGAAGGGGGTCATAACTGTCCAGGGGAGAAAACCGACAAATGCTACTTCAGCCAGGTGATGAAAGTCAACATCAGCAAGTCAAAAATATGTTTGTTAGTGTTTACTTTAGACAGGATGGGATGAAAGTTACACTTAACCTTCGTGATCTTCCTCCCCCAAATCCCAAACCCTAGTCTTATCATGAGAAAATATTAGACAAATTCCAACAGAAGGGTGTCCTACAAATACCTGGCCAGTCCTCCTCAAGACTGGCAAGGATACCAAAAACACAGTCAGTCTGAGAAACTGTCACAGCGAAGGAGACATGGCAATGAAAGGCAATGTGGCATTCTGGATGGGACCTGAGTGGGACCTTGAAATAGAACAAAGATTGGGCAAAACTAAAAGAATCTGAATAAACTGGGTACTTAAAATAATTTCTCAATATTAGTTTGTTAATTGTAACAAATATACCATACTAGCGAATGTAAAGAGTAACTGGGTATGCATATTGGGAACTGTGGGCCACCTTATAATTTCTCTGTAAATCTAAAAGAATTCTAAAAAAAGTATTTAAAGTAAAATTGCAAAAATACACGTGATTGTATTAGAAACACTTTAAAGCAACTGAGAATTACAGAAGGTATACAGGGCTGCTCAGCCTCTGTTTCATTTTAACTGCTAGTGATAAGAATATTAACATTTTGATTAATATCTACTTTTTAAAAATTTTCTGGGCATCCATAAGTGTGCGAGTTTCTTTTCTTATAGAAATGGGATCATGTCAAGACGTATTTTGTAATTTGCTGGTTACTTAACACTGTAACATGGACACTGTTCTATCAGGTCTATAGGCTTCTACTTCACTCTTAACAACAGCGTATTATTATGTAAGATGGACGTCCTCTCTAAATACTTTACCTCTAATTTTTGCTTGGAAAAACTAACAATTCTACCTTTCAGTGTACACCTTAAAGATATATCCTTACCTGCACTCCCACCAACAGTGAACTAAGGACCCCTTTTCCCCACAACCCCTCCAACCATTATGGAAAACAGTATGGATTTTTCTCAGAAAAATAAAAATCGACCTGCCTTTTGACCCAGCAATTCCACTGCTGGGATTATATCCTAAGAATCCTAAAACATCAATTTCAAAGAACCTATGCACCACAATGTTTATAGCAGCACATTTTACAATAGCCAAGAGTTGGAAGCAACCTAGATGCCCATCAGTAAATGAATGGATACAAAAATTGTGGTACATATACACAATGGAATTCTATGCTGCAGAGAGAAAGAAGGAGCTACTACCCTTTGCAACAACATGGATGGAACTGGAAAGCATTATGCTGAGTGAAATAGGCCAGGTGCTGAAAGACAAATACCATATGATCTCACCTTTAACAGGAAGCTAAACAACAAAACAAACAAGCAAGCAGAAAAAAAAAACCCAAAAAACAAAGACACTGAAATAGAGAACAAGGGGATAGTGACCAGAGGGGGGAGGGGGGGAAGTTAAGGGGAAAAGGGGGGAGGGATTTGGAGGAGCAAGTGGGAAGGACACAGGGACGAGAACTAAGGGGGGGTGGAGATGGGAGGGAGGTGGGGAGCAAGGGGCGGGGGAGGCTGGGATGGGAAAAATAGACAAAAAACTGTACTTGAAAAATAACTAAATAAAATTAAAATAAAAAAAAATAAAATAAAAAAAAGATATATCCTTACCTAAACTGACACATCAATCTGTTACTTAAAAGAAAAGTTGAAAGAATTTTGAAATTCTCTCATTTCTTTGCGCTATGATTTTAAGCTTTTAGGTCTCGATTAGGGACATAATAGAAACAGTTGACTATACTATTATTTTCTGTTATCTATTTTGTTTAATATTTACATTAAAATGGTGATCCATCTGGAAAGTGTTCCTTGCGATTAATTTTCTCCTAAATGGAAAATTGTTTCAATAACATTATTTATCGAGTAGTCTGTTTCCCCCTGGGATTTGAAGTGTCACCTTTTAATACATTCAACTCCTATATTAGTGTGGGAGCGACGGCATCGTCACTTTGGTGCGTTGTTTATCTATTTCTGCAGCACCAGAGTTTTAACTAATGTAGCCTTAGAGTGTGTTTTGAAACATGGTAAGATGATTTCCTCCTCATGGGTCCTCCTTTTATAAAATTTCTTACTTGTTATTACACAAGTTTAACTTTTGTTGTTAAATTTTGCCCGGAAGTTTTTTCAAGTTGCTTGCTTCATTTTCTAATTTTCATGGCTAACATTCTGAATGGGATCTTATTGTAAACCTTTTTTTTTTTCTGAATTGACTGTTGTTGTGAAATATTTCACAAAAGCTATTTAATATTTATAATTTAAAGAATACCTTACTGGGTGTTGTTTTATTCTACTTTTGCTGTTGTTACTCTTGTATTTTTCTATTTGGAAAATGATACCCAATTCAAATAAAGATAATAATTAACTCTGCCCAGAGTTACTTCATTTACACACCTACTTCAGGTTACACACCAACACCTACTTCATTTACACATTTCTTTGGAGGTTGTTATTTTGATCCATTAATTGATTTATCTTAGTAAAACACATTACATTAAAATAATAGTGTTCATTTACATTTTTAATTATGATTTTTCAAGAATGTGGCACCAAACTTCTTACTAGGCCAATGGGTGACTCTTTTACATGGAAACTGCATTCTGATTCAGTGTAAGTATTTGCAAAGGTTGGGACAAAATTATGTAAATTATTTTAAACTTGTATCAGTCCATTCTGAGACAAGAATCTGATAGTTTTGGGAAAGCCTAGTTAAATTAAACTGTTAGGTTACATTGATTAGAGTATAAGCACATTGGCAAATATCTCATTTAATCTTCATAATGACCTTTTTTAGTTTGATATTATTATTTTCTATTACCTATAATTGCCTAGGAATCAAGTTAATATGGAAACAAAATCAAACATCTCTTGGTACACATGTGACTTTAATTTATATAAATCTAAAACTTTTTTTGTTCTGAGTAAAGACAATAGGTCTTCATTTGGTTAAAGCAAGGAACCTACTTATATGTTATAAAGCCAGCTTGCTTCTGTCCTTTCTCTGCCAACCATGAGAAATAAGATTTTCAATGTAGGGGGGTGGGGGATAGTGTAGGGACCTAAGAGAGAGAATTGATGGCAGGGCAGAAAGGAAACAGTTGAAAATGAATAAGTAAGAAAGGTTTATGAGAAATGGGGATTCAGGAGCTGCTCAGGAGAGGAAAAGCCTTGGTTAAACATGACAGGGTGGTCTCAGTAAGCAAGTAAAGATGGGTGAAAATAGACGTGTCGGTGATTTGGTAATGGAGGGTAACATTAATTCATAGGAGTTATGAGTTAAGTTGTAATGTAGCATGTATCAAATTTACTGCTGAGTGATACTGAAAGTCAGACACGACTACAGTTTGGGAAACTCTATTGCTGCCCATATTAATCAGGTAACATATAGAATTTCACATGCTTGCCCTCCAAATGATACTGTAATATTTCAAACAGAAACATTGCCCTGTATGTACCAATGCTGATCCTCTGACCGCTCTCAATTGCCCTAAAATGTTTTTGTTGATTTAATATGAGATTTCTTGGTGTCATTATTTATATCACAACACAATGTGCTATTAATCTGAAGATAGATGCTACTGATATTAGTTGACATGTATTCAAATATATCTGGGAATATGGGTATTGAATAAACATGGTTCTAATCATTTTCTACGAACTGTGTTACTGTTCTTAAGGCATTTTGGTTTTAACAGGGAGGCCAGGATGGGTGACAAGAAAATCCAGAAAGATTTTCTCCTGAGAACTGAGAATAAAAGTATAAGAAAGTGTTTTTAACTTAGTAATGAAAAACACTTGACCACACATCATAAGTGTGTTCCAGAAAAGCAGTGCCATGCTGGAAACTGACATATAGTTTACAACCCATTGGACAACCATTCATGAAATACCATTGGGTGCAAAAAACTGCCTTAGACACTCTAAAATCATGCTATTCTACTCAGTTAGGAAATGATACATTAACTGCCATCTTGTGTTTGTGTCTATGTATGTGTTTGTGGCTCTCCAGGTGAAACTTGACTTATAGATAGTAGTGTCACGTGAGTGCTCTTTTTTAGCATGTGGGAACATATATCAAGATTAGTGGTTAAGGACAGGGAGGCAATATATAAGCAAGATTTGGAATTTTTAGGTACTGTTTTGTTAAAGGTGCTCAAGAGGAGTCTGATGTGGAAAGACTGATACCCAGAACAGAAGCTGCCATGGGAACTGCTCAGATGCTGAAGAGAGGGATTCAGTCCTCTGTTCTAAGAGGCTGTCTGGTCCAGCAGAGTGAAGATAGTAGCATCTCTGACATCAACCTACTCAGACAAGTCAGCATCCAGGTATCTGACCTGGAAAGTGAGACAGAGTCTGTCAGCCTCAGGATTAGTGTCAGCAGTTGTGGGACCTTAGCTACGGAAAGGAGCTTAGGGCAGAACTCTTATCCATAGGATAGATGCTGGCCAGAGCTGGTCAGATGATCAAACCAGAGATTTAGACACAAGAAACAGCCAAAACTCAGAACTGGGACAAAACACTGGACCACACTAGTGACAGTATGTTGAGTCTCTAAAACAATGGCTGTTTTTCTGATGCTCAAAGCCAGAACTGGCCTTGGAGATTTGATGTTGCCCAAGCATGCAGGATGAGGTTCAGCTGGGGAAAGGAGAGGAACAGTGAGATCCAGGAAGGGCAAAGTTTAAATTGAAGGTCAATGGTTGCTTGTTTGTTTGTTTTACATATCAACATGCAATGGGTGGTGAGTGTCCTTTAGAGATGTGTAATTCAATTATACATTTAATTTTTTTAGAATGCATTTTATTGGGTTTGGCAATAAATTTCTGCTATCTTTATAAAATAAATTGAAGAGATTTCTATCTTTTTCTGTGTTGGGATAGCTTAGCAATGTTGGAATAATTTTAAAAGATGGCCTTTTTATTTTAATGGCAGATTACCTTTTAAAATATTTTGTGTTATTGCCTTTATTTCTCAATTCTTAGCAATTTGAGCTACTTTACAGACTCCAGTATCTTACAGAGGAGGCAAAGATTGGAATGTCGGAAATTGGAAAAACAACATAGAGGACTCAAGAGAAGAGTGAGGGAGTCAAGGCCAGAACAGTCTCTCGAGGGCAGGTCTATAAATACTTCTGGGCCTTTCAAGGAGACATTGCTTTAAGGGCCATATTTCTGTCTTTTATTTTGATTTTGACCTAACCTCTCTTTATCTAAATTACATGATAAATATGATTTATTTATATTTATGTAAATAATAAGATGTTTTCTGAGTAACTAAATATTTTTAATCTTAGAAAAGCAAGGCTTTGGTAACCACAATGACCTTGGCAGTCGTGCAGTGTGGAGCCGCTGAAAGAAGGTGTGAGGTTCCGCAGTTTTTAAATGATTTGTGAGTCATGTCTCCTTCTTATAATGGGATGACTCGGGCCAACTACATGCGCGTACAAACAGGAAATGACAATAAGCTGCTTTTACTAACTTCTAACAATGGTTTCTTTCTGTTTCTTTTTATAAAATATTTTACTTATTTGTTTTTTAGAGAGAGGGGAAGGGAAAAAAAAAGGGTGGGAGAGAAACATCAACGTGTGGTTGCCTCTCATGTGTTTCCTACTGGGGACATGGCCTGCAACCCGGGCATGTGGCCTGACTGGGAATCGAACCAGCCACCCTTTGCTTCATAGGCCCGTGCTCAATCCACTGAGCTACACCAGGCCAGGCATCTTTCTGCTTCTTAAGCACGCACACACAGAAAGTTTCCGATGCTCAGAATATGAAAGCAATATACATATGTATATTAACATAATATTGTATTTATTTTTAATACAAAAATTTAATATAGGAAAATTTCTTAAATGCCTATTGTGTGCTATGTTTATTACTGTTCGTTTCAAATATTTTTTATATAGGCTCTCAGACTGAACATGAAAAAATATGGTTAGTATGTACTCTGCGTCATTACAGGTAGGAAACTTTTACCCTAAAATTAGTTAAAGAGAGAGTCTGAATTTATGAAACTAAATTTCATAATACAGACTGTATTATACTTCAAGTTTAATTTCTATTGATGAAAATTTAAGGCACATTTTAATTAAAATGAGAATATTTTAAATATATATAATGAGTTAATGTAGAAAAAAAAGATGCTTTAAGATGCCTTCCATGTTTCTAACTTGTATGTTACCCATAATGTGAGATTTCCTATGTGGGAAAAGGCAGAAAGCTGTTGTGTTTGGGGGATGGGGTGAAGCTGGATCTGCGCAGCCAATTCAGGCACACAGGGAAACACGTTCTATGTGTTTTTGTGCTTTAAGGTAGTTTCAGTTTAGAAGGGAGTTGTATATATTGCTTACCTTGCCTTTCTATTGCTCATATTGCCAAATTCGGGTTATGATTTCCTGGAGGAAGCCAGAAAAGTGAAATATACAGTTTAATTGTGTTTTCCAAGCAAGAAATACAAACTGACTTTTGTATATTACATGTATTCTTTACATGAGAAACAAAAGCCTGAAGCCACTTAACAACATAGCTGTGTCTATTTCAATTCTTTGACTATAAATTCCACAGTTTAGGAATGGGCATATTTATAAGCATAGGTATTTTATTAATAATACTCTCAAGCAAATTATGTTTAACCTGTCAGAAAACATTTTTAAATGGCCATACTTCTTTTGGATTTGAACAATGTTCAGCACGTGGACATGGCTGAATGTGTCATTCAGGTTAATATAAACTCTGTATTAAAATTTGATTTATATTTAGGAGCTAGGCTTAAGCTCAGTTTGAATTAAAAATTCACTAAAAATGTACAACATAAAGGTATACTCCTTATATATATTCTGTATATAACATAGTTGAAAAACAATTAATGGAAAACAATTAAACAAACATAACTGAATGACAATTAGGGTATTCTTCAGCAGAATGGAAATTGCTGGTAATTTTCTCAGCATTCGTTTCTCTGTTTCTCCTTCCTAATAATGCCCTGATTTTTGTATATGTGTCTATCTCTGTTTCGAAAAGTTCAGAAGCTTAAAAGGAAAGCTCATGTCTGGTCTAAAGCAATCCCATTATCCTTCCCACAGGAAGAGGTTTAGAAACCCAGGATTAATCCCAGGAGGCCACGGCAATTATTTCATGTGTGACATGTGACTCAGTTTAGTCCCAGGAGACATAAGGAAAGATTGCTGAGGTCTCCTGAGAAAGAAGTCTTTTCTCTCCTAAACATGTGGTGGTATAAACACATGAGGCCTGAAACTGCTGTATAGCCATTTAGCCACCAATTTGTAGATGTAGCTGCATACCTGGCAAAGCTGAAGGCATAGCAGGAAAACAGAGATAGTTGCTGGATAAAGCCAATTCTATCACTTGCTCTCCTTCCATACATTTATATGGAAATTCTTTTGTGGTTTAAATTAGTTTGCATTTTCTCTTCAAAAACATCTAGGTGTAGGGAAATGAGTGAAGAGGTGAGGGACTTAAGAAATACAAATAGGTAGTTACAGAATAGCCATGGGTGTGTAAAGTACAGTATAGGGAATGGAGGAGCCAAAGAACTTATATGCATGACCCATGGACATATCATTTCCCAATGATATGCAGATTGCCTGAGGGAGTGGGCAGTGCTGGGTAGAGGGGGGCAAAGAGGAAAAATAAGGACAATTGTAATAGCCTAAACAATAAAATTTAATATTAAATATCTGAGGTGCATACACTTATGCAGAAACACATTTCAGATTTTCATCATAGTTCTCTTCCCAAGAAATTTAATTATTTTAGGGAAGGTAATTCATTATGTTAAAATAAATAGAATTTATTTTAAACATTTTAAATATTAATGGATTTACAAATCATTAGAATGATTTGTCAGGCATCTATGCTGATTTAGGGGTTGAAAATTATTGCTTCTGATTTTGGAGCTAATTTTATTGGCGTGGCATTCTCAAATTTTGGTAAGATACTAGAAGTGCACCATCAGGAAATTATTAAAATATCTCCATTTGTCATTTGTTAATGGTTTATGGTATCCTTGCTTTAGTCTATCATGAAACAAGTACTTGCATATCTTAGGGTCTCAGCATTCTTCCATTCAGAGCTTCATAACAAGAGCTACTATTTAATAGTGAACAGTAGTACAGCTTTTGGTAACTCACACTTAGGTATAAACCTTTTCATTCGATCAACTTTCAATTATTATTATTTTTTAACAGAGTACCCAGTTTGTGCCAGCAAGGTGCTAGCTGTCGATGTTTGCCATGTTGCAACGACAGTCACTAGCTTCTAATGTTATAGGAAAATGAAGCAACCAGACACCGAGGGATTCTGGAGTACGAGGTTTATTAACGTGTAGGGCCCAGAGGAGTCAGTCTCCAAATTCTGAGCCCCGAACAAAGGATTCTTGGGGGTTTATATAGCCTAGGGGTCTTCCTGTCTACGTAGCAAAGTGGGATACAGAAAGCAGAATGTGGTAATTAGTTCTATCTATGGGGCAGAAGCAGAGTACAAAGGCTAAATGTGAAAATTGATTCTATCTGCAGGGGTGCTAGCCCCAGTCCTTGTGACTATCCTGCTATTTGCTTTTCCCAGACAGCCTTATCGTTCTCCCATGGCGCCTGGGGTTTTGGGTGAGCAAAGGTCTCCTAGGGCTTCTCCCTTCACTAAGGGCCTTGAAGCTCAGACAGAAAAGGAAATGAGTGATTAATTCAAAGTGATAAGAATTTTGTTTTATGAAAACACCTGGTGACTGGCAGGTAATCCAGACTTGGGTGTTTAGAGGACTCACAAAACGTGATGTCTAAGCTGAGACTGAAAGGCCAGGGATGAAATAGTCATTTTAACTGTGGAAAATTCTCAGAGGAGAAAGGTGTAGAAGTGGGGTTCTGGTGGAGGAACAGTGCACAGGCACAGTCAAAGGAGAGGACATGGCTCATCCCTAGTGACTATGAGGTGTTCAAGATGCTGGAGCAGAGGGCATCTTCACACCATAAGGTGCCTGATTCTGAAGGATCTTGGAAGCCTGCTTATGAATTTGAACTTTATTCTGAATGGGAAACTTTGGAAGGAAAAAACTTTTTAAAGAATTACTCAAAAGGGATGTAGATTAGAGGCAGGGAGACCAGTAAGAAAACATTTACAGTAATTTGAACAAGAAATGAGTTCTTTCAGGAAGAACCATTAACGGGATTTAGTGATTGAGTGTTGTGAAAGGTTGAGGTGTTCATTAAAGCATCACCTAATGTATTAAATAATTGGCAAAGACTTACTTCCACAGGATTTCTTTGGACTTGAACAGAAGTCTTATTCATGAAGTTATCAAGGGACTTCCGCCAAGATGGACCTTAGAGGCAAGAAGGGGCTGGAAAGAGGTATTCCAAGTCATGAAATTTAAAGACCTACATCCAAGATTGCTCTATCCAGCAAAACTTTCATTTAAAATGGAAGGACAGTTAAAGTGCTTCTCAGATAAGATTAAATTCAAGGAGTTCATCATCACCAAGCCCTTATTATATGAAATGTTAAAGGGACTTATCTGAGAAAAAGAAATTAAAGAAACATGAACAGTGGAAGGACAACAAACTCACAGTTATTAACAACCACACCTAAAACGAAAGCAAAGTAAAAGGACAGCTAGATCAGGAGTGGAAACATAGAAATGAAGATCTCAAGGAGGGTTAGCAACAGGGGAGTGGGGGGGGGGAGAAGGTACAGAAAATAAGTAGCATAGACAGTAGATAGAAAATAGATGGGGGGGGGCAAGAATAGCATGGGAAATATAGAATCTAAAGGACTTGAGACACATGGTCATAAACTAAAGGGGGGGTAATGGTGGGGATGAAGGGTAGGGTGGAGGGGAATAAAGTGGGAATAGAACAACTGTAACAGCATAATCAATAAAAATTTAAAAAAATAATTAAAAAAATTTTTAAAAAGTTATCAAGACATCTATACTCTGGGAAAGGGAGCATATGCAGAACTGCCTCACCGATATAATAAGCAGACTCCATCTTCAGAGTAACTGAAAGCAACAGTCTGTGTTTGAGCACCGTGGACTGGGCAGAAGACAGGCATGAAAGTGTAGGCTTCTCCACCCCAGGCGTTTCCAATGATCAATAATCACAATTTCATCAGTGCTCTTGAACTCCCAGGCCAGGAGTGACACTTGGCACAGATCCACACTGGATTAGTAGCTGTGCCTGTGGTTTTGAACTTCAGAATAGCAGTGAGGTCATCACTGTTGGGAAATTTTAAAGTAGTAGAAAACATGCATTTCAACTTATAATTACAGGCATTTGAATTAAGGTTGTTGGGGGTGGGGGTACTTGTAATTTGAAGAAACTGTTAAGAGAAAAGGAGAAACTAAAGACAGAAGGTATAAGCCCAAAAGCAATTTGCTTGAATGAACTAAGAATCAACAAATGAAAAGGGAGAGGTCAATACATTCTTACACTGAATTTCAGTTGCTTTTTATGATAATGCATCCTTTGTAGTAGTTTGTTTTTGCTTCAGTTTTTCTCTTTAGTATGTATTCTCTAAGAATAAAAAGAAAAGAAAAAGGAAATCTATAACCTTCCTCACAAATACTTTGCTGATCACAATATATTGCTACCCAGTCTCTTATGGAGCTGCTAAAAACAAAGACAAAGCAAGCTTGTGAACCTCTATTACATCCACAGTGTTTAAAACACTTTTTCATTCAAGATGAAATGTTCTACACTTCATATGTTACTTCCGACTATTTAGAGTCTGAAAAGAAAAATAACAAAAGGTAATCCCTGTAAAAATGTGACTCTCAAACTAAAATTTTCTTATTTACTTTAGGTTTTAAATGATATTGTGAATATAAACACACAAACAGAAAAGAAACGTTGAACTAAAATGTAAATTCAATGATTTATTACCTAGCGAACGTCTTGTAATCACGACCTAATTAGAAATAGAAAACTGCCTGGACCCAGAAGCATACCTTGTGTACACATCGCTATTTCTCACTTCTTCCACAAATTTTCACTGCTGTAATATTTATGGTAATCCCACTCACGTATATTTTTACAGTACTAGACATATGCATCCTTTCATACTATAATTTAATTCCAGATTTTTAAAATTTATACAAATGGATCACAGACTAATGAAACATACCCTATAGAACACATTTCATTAGTCTGGAATCCTTTATTCCTCATTACACTTGCAAGATTCATCCACAATGTTCTTTGCAGTTGTATGCTAATATAATTCATGAACACTGAATGGTTATTCCAAAATATATTTATCTATTCTAATTGTGATGGGCTTTTGGCTTGTTTCCAGTTTGCAGTTATCAGAAGGAATGCTGCTGTAACATTCTTGTGCGTGTCTCTGGGTGCACACACATTCATGTCCATCAGATGTACACATAGGAGTGGAAATGGTGAGTCAGTATATAATATGTAAGTTAAACTTTAGTAATTAATGCCAACCAGTTTTCCAAGGGGTTATATATCAGCTTACACTTCAGTCTCCAGGTTCTGAGAGTTCCAATTGCCCTGCCTTTTTGCCCGTGCTTGTTGTTTGTTTGTTTTGTTTTTATTTTGTAACTATGCTTGTGTGTATGTAATGGTTACTCATTATGGCTTGATTTTCATTTTTCCTGATGACTAATGACATTGAACCCCTTTTCATGTTTCTTTTCTCTTCCTTGAAGTGCCTATTTAAATCTTTTGCCCATTTTTTATTGAGATGTCATTTTCTTACTGATTGGAAGACATCTTCTTATAGATTTAGTAGGAGAACTCTTTGTCAAGTTCATGTATCACACACACACAGGGCCTCCCAGTGTGTGTGTGTATCTTGCTTTTTTCTCACTTTGTGGAGTCTTTCTATAAACAGTGGTTGCTGGTTCTGATGTACTCCATTTTGTTAATCTGTTTCTTTATGGTTAGTGCATTTTCTGCCTTTTGAAAAGCTTTTTTCTTTCTCTAAGGTTATAAAGATATTATCTTTAACTATGCTCTAGAATGTTTGTTATTTGCTTTTCACATATAGATCTAAAAATCTGTCAAGAATTCATTGTTTGTACAAGGTAGAGAATAACTTCCAATTTTCAATTAATATCCAATTGTCCCAGCGCATTTTACTCCACACTCTTTACAGTACTAATTTTTCATAAATCAACAGTCTATGTAAGTATAGGTCAGTTTGTGTGATTCTCATTCTAATTAATTTCTCTAACATATTCTTTCACCAATAACTCACTCTTTTATTTTTTATTTCTTTCATTTATCCTTACCCTAGGACATATCATTTCTTTTAGAGAGCAAGGAAGGGGGAAAGAGGCAGAGAGAGAGGGAGAAAGGCAGAGAGAGAGAGAGAGAGAAATTTGTGAGAGAAGTATCAAATTAGTTGCCTCTCATACACTCCCTGACCAGGGATCAAATCCACAACCTGAGTGTGTGCCCTGCAGTTTCAGTCTATGGGGTGTTGCTCTAACTGACTGAGCCACACCAGCCAGGGCATTACTCATTGCTTTAAATAAGCATTATTATTATTGTTCTATACAGTCAATGTTTATTCATATTTACTCACTTATATGCCCTTTATATTACTCTTCATTCTTCAATCTAAATTCATTTTCATCTGCCTGCATCCCAAACTTCCACCTGAACTTATTTTTAAAAAATAGTAAAAAAGATGACTTTTGGTAGAAGTCCGCTGGAGGGAAGGAACTTCTTTTAATTTTTGTTTTCTGAAAAAAAAATTTACGTCTTTTTATTCTTGAAGTATATTTTTGTTGGGTATAAAATCCTGGGTTAACAGTTATTATTCGCATTCCCATAAATATATTATTCCACTCTCTTGTTTTTGTTTTTATCTCTTGAGAAGATGCCTCTCTATCCAATAACTGCTCTTTTGAAGACAGTGTGTCTTATTTCCCTTGCTTTCTTTTTTACAGAGTGGGTGGGTTTAATGAGTTTGCTACGATACACCTATGTATAAATTTCTTTTATCCTCCTTAAGGTTGGTAGGAATTCTGAAATCTGTAGTTTAATATGTTTCATCAATTTTGTAGAGTTCTCAATTATCTATTCAATATTTCTTTTACTTACATTTTTTCTTTCCTATGTGCATGATATTTCAAATACTTACATGTTATAATTCTTGCTGTTTCCTCTAACTCTTGTATTGATTATTCTGTATTCTCATTAGCTCTCTTTTTGTTTCAATTATAAATGGCATCTTATAAAGGTTATATTTTATAATGTTATTTTCTAGCAAATAATAATAAAATTTTCTTTGTATGTTGAGCTTGTATCTAGCTACTTTGCTACAGTTACTTAACTTTTCTAATATTTTGTCTATATATTGTTTTCTAGGTAGAAAATCATGTCATATGCAAATAACATAAATTTTTTTCTCTCGGATACTTAGAACATTGAGCTTGGCCTCATGACTTGTTTTACCCATTGGAATATTATTAAACAGGATGGGAGTGGAAGCTTAAACTATGGTTGTACCATTGAGCTGGTCTTTTGAAATTGTATCTTTAGGTATGAGGATACCACCCCTTAAATAATCATTGGTCCAAAGAAAGTGAAAGACACAAGTTGAAGATCTGGATTCAACCCATGGCTTAGAGAGAGCATAACCAGACCCACACTATATAGCAAAGTGAGAAATAAATGTTTATTATGGGACATCACAGAGATTATGTGGTTCTTTTGGCAATAGCAGACTGATACAACAATAAACCCTTAGTCATGGGAGAGTGTTCCCATTTCAATAAATTCCAACCAACCTTACAATCTATTCCCCTTTATATTCTATCCCTCATAGTTTTTTAACTATAAAAACAACTCTCACACATATTCTCTTGGCCTCTACCTTTATATTTTTGGCAGCTTTGGCAATTTTTTGGTGTGTAAATTCTTTTCTCTCAAAGTGGGTGTTTTAAGAAAAAAATGCCACCATTGGAAGCTGGCTAGGTTAACAGAGCCAAACACTTGAGAGCTATAACACAAGTAGACAGCCATAGCCATTCACATGGTAAGAAGTTAAGATGAACCACTATTGAGTTTCAGATACTATTCTAGGTGCTTTCATATATATCTATTTATTTAATCTTGCCAATATTTTATTGTGCTAGCCATTTTTCATAGATAGTACTGGATCATGATTCACCCTGACTTCAATGCCCATGTTCTCACTACTAAACTCATATTTTTAATGGAAGTATAATCTATAGAACAAGCACTATCAGCACCATCAGACAGGTTGTTAAAAATGCAGTGTTTCAGGCCCAACTCAGACCTTCTGAATCAGAATCTTCATTCTAACAAGCTTTCTACATGAGTCCATGCACATTAAACTTTGAGAAGCAATACATCATAGCATATATTCTTCTCAGCATATGTGTCTTGGGAGAACTTAGAAATATTTAAGAATGGCCTTTGTAAAATAGGTCTTAAAAGAGTCTTGGTAAATAAAAATAGCTTAAGTGTTCCAGTGGCCTTAAAACAAGTCCAAGTTGAGTTTCAGTTTATGGAAATTCTGGCTATTTTTGTGACTATCTCTTTCCCTCATCCATATTAGTAAACTGTAAATTATTTGAATAAGTTATAGTGAAAGATTTTTTTATCAAGGAGCTCCTCTGGGCTAAATATAGTTTTAGGCTAGACTAAACAGTAAGACATATTTCATATTCTTAAATAGCATTTAATATAAATGGGAAAAAAAGATGAAACCAAAAGAAAAAAACAGAAAAAACAAAAGAGCACATAAACAAAGATCTATAATAGAAGAGGCATATTATAGAAACATGTGTTTTATGGGAGCTGCTGGAGTTTTTAGTGACCAGAGATACATAAGTTCTGATCATAAGGCTTCCTGCAAAGGTGATTCTAATCATTATTTTAAGGGAAGAACTGGGATTCATAAGGCAGTAAGTACTGAAGCATTTCATTAAGTGGCAATGACAAAAATATTTATTTAGATATGGGGTCAAGAAAATCATAATTCATATATAGAAGTAAAGATATTTGTTGAGGTAAGATTTAGCTAAGGGTCCATGTTTGATCAAGTATGT